AACTCTTTTTATTTCAGGTATCACTGCTTAACATAATTAAACCAGTGTGGCAACGCACTTTGAAAAAATTACGCACTTTGAAAAATTTTTAAAGTGCGTAAAATTTGGGACAAAATCGACGCACTTTGAAAAAATTTTTCAAAGTGCTTTAAAATTTTGGGGACCAACTCAACGCACTTTGAAAAAATTTTTCAAAGTGCGTTAAGAGTCTACATCAATATATTTTACCATGGAACACTTAACGCACTTTGAAAAATAAATCATATTTTAGTCATGGAAAGATTTTATTTATTATTTATCTTTCAAAAACAAAGGGCAAACCCTAACCTCAAAAAATGACTTGATTTACTCCCGTCGAAAAGAGGAGAAGACGGTTATAAGATCCCTAAGTCCAAATCTTTATCTTTCCGATACATAGGTGTCGGTAACAAACGGGGGAGGGGAGCAATAAACCTAAAAAGGGTACGCTGCATTTTCAATGCTTATACGATGTATATATCTTTCCAAAATACGTGTGGGGCTTAGCCCCCCTTCCCCTCCCCTGGCCCTTCCCCAGTCTCGAAGTCTATGCTATACTCAAAGCATTCATATAATTATGTATTTACCTAACTGGTGTGACGTTGAAAACTTTCAATAATAAATGAGTTAATTAAAACAGATGAAAACTAGATATTTTTAAGAACAGTAAAACGTACAAGAGAGAAAATTTTTTCATAATTTTGAAAAATCAAATTGCCCCCTTTTTCTTAAGATAAATGCTAAGTTGCTTGAAGCTGTCCTCTGTTAGTGCCCCCTATACACCTTTACATCTACTTATCAAAACTAGAATTAAAAAAAAAAGAAGAAACGAATTAATGAACTTAAACAATCGTCACTCTTTTTTCAAGACCCTTTGATTTTCCCTTTTATTTTATCAAAACCTTAAAATTTAAAACGTCAACATCTCAGGTCCTACAGTGACTTTATCATAAAAAAGTTATCAAACCAGTATCTGTTATTTATCATACCGATTATTTGAAGGAATATTGATCAATCTTTACATTTTTTTCAAAGTGCGTTAATATGGTCGATATTAACGCACTTTGAAAAAAAATTATTTTTTTCAAAGTGCGTTAGCTTGGTCCCAAATTTTTAAGCACTTTGAAAAATTTTTTCAAAGTGCGTAATTTTTCAAAGTGCGTTGTAACAAACCAGTCAAGGAAAATCTGCAGCGGAATCATTAGCACTGTCTCTATAAAATAAATCAACCCACTGTACCATCTGAGGTAAAAATGATAGTATACTTTAGAGCCGCAAATTTAAGCAGTGTTTTTATATTTAACTGGATGGGGAAAGGAATTCCCCAGAATTCATAATCTGATATACTATTACTGAAGGAATACTATTATATTGTTAATTTTGCACCAAATGTCAATCTTAGCATTTTTCCCTAAATAAATTTAAAACCTTTATCTTGAAAATATTCCACGTGACTGATTGATGATTACCTTGGAATACTGAGGGAAAATCGCTATTGCAACAGGAAGGGCAAGACCAAAACAAATGGTCACAACTGCAGCATGGATTGGAAGGTTTATACGAGGATATTTTTTGAATAACACCGTTCTGTAAAAGAAGGAAACAATTTTTTTTATCCTTCATGTGGTATGATTCAACAACTCTGGAAATTTTGAGGCCAAAGAGGGACAACTCATAACCAATGTATGTAACACAGTCCATATACCGTTCTGGTCGTATTTCCCCTTCATTTTATCATAAAACGGGGATATTTAAATAAATAACAAACAGATGAAATAATTCACTAGTTTTTATAAAGATGATTAGATTTGAATAAATATATAACAATAGGTAGGGTAATTAATAAGTTCATTATTTTACATTTATTGATAGTAAAATGATTTGTCCACTTACTTTTCCAGGACAGACATAATGACCGGAGGAATCACAAGAATTGGGGCGGGCAAGAACATTCGTGTGACAGCAGTCTCCATTAATGCCTTAAAAAGAAAATAACAATATTTAATTAACTTAAACATCACAAGGTGCGTTGCCTTTGGAGAAACAAGAAAAATCGAATGGCTTACCTTTTCAGCAGCTATTTTGGACTTTCCGATTACATTTCCATTGTGATCCTGTACCTCTATACCCGTAGACAGCTCTGAATTCCTCATCAACAGTAAATTACAGGTGCTGGCGCAAGCTTGTGGGTTAATAAGAAAGATTCATTATTAAAAAATATATCAGAAATATACAAACATATAAAATCAAACGTGTCAAATTTTGTCAACATTTACATAACTGTGCTAAATACATTTTCATACCTACTGCTGGAAAGGGGACAAATCTCTGAATGAGAAGTTTTGTAGCCAGGTTAAATTTATTTGCCTTCTGTATTAAAACATTTAATCCTACCTGAAGAGAAAATGAAATTTTCGTGAAGAAATTCAGATTTGTTACAATTTCTTTTCTCATTCAAATTTTTTCCGCCGAAATATGGCTGAAATATTGCCCATCCGGCGTTAAACACAATATCAATTAAACAATCAATCAAATTTTTAAACAAAAGTGTTCTTTAAAATAAACCATCAATTCTTAAAACAAGAATATTAAAAGCTTGAATCGTCTAGATCTTGAGTTACGTTTATGTTTATAAAAAGTTTTATGAGTAATACTAACAGCAATTGACACAGCCGTGGTTACTGCCCCTGCATATCCTAGAAGAAACCGACTTATTGGTGTTGGCTGTAAGAAATGGAACTTGGTTAGTGTGTTCTGAACTTCCTCGATAATCTCTTGATTTGATTATTTCTAAGAAAATTTAAATCAAATATATGATTGTACGATTAGTGGCACTATAAACCTAGTTTTACATGAGGTTTAACTTGATACAAAATGCCGATCAAATTCTCAAAGAAAATTTAATAGAAAGATTTTTTTTAAATAAATGAAGAGGTTCACCTTTGGTGGCATATTTCTGTCCTCTATACATGCATGATAAATTATGTTTGCATGCAACTTTATTATATCTACATCAAAGATAACTATGTTGAAATGCAAGTTACAACTCTTAAAAGAGAATCTTTTTTTAATGTGAGTAAAATCCCGTTCTAACGCTCGGATCTGACATCGTAGATGCAAGATGAAACATAATTATGTAAATTATGTAGACATGCAACTTATTTTTGTTAACATGCAACTTATTTATGTCAACACGCAACTTATTTTTGTCAACATGCAAGTTATATTTAACATAAAAGATATTTATGTCAACATGCAAGAAAATAAGTTGTGTATCAACATACATGTACATATCTCTTGCATATTGATATAAATAAGACACATTTTGACGTAATTATCTTGCATGTTGTCATAAATAAGTTGCATGTTAACATACTTATCTTGCATGTTGACATAAATATGTTGCATGTTAACCTATTCTCCCATTTACATTTAAAATTTTTTCATTTGTATTGTAGAATTTTTACAAATACAAATGAAAAATTATCGAATACAAATAAGAACATTTACAATACAAATAAGAAAAATTAGGATGCAAATGGAAAATATAGACTGAATACAATGAAAATTTTTATAATTTAAATGATTTTTTTACAATACAAAAGGAAAATATAGAATACAACAATTAAAAATTAATAGTATACAATTCAAATGGAAAATTATAGAATACAAATAAAGATTATTCAATACAAATGGAAAAGATCATATATTGCAACGTATATACAAATGAAAAATCATACTATACAAATGGAAAATTATAGAATACAAATAAATAATCATACAATACAAATAGAAAAAATCAAATATTGCATCGCTTACAAGTGGCTAATAAGAAGATTTTACAGGGTTTTTTCCTGTTTTAATAAAAAATTTAATTAACACGTACAATGTGAAACTCTAATACCCTAATGGTCCCATTCTAACATAGAGGTTCCTTCGCCAAACGCTCGGCATTAGAAGTAAAAGTCATGGGTCTTTCGGATATGACCTTAAAAACATAGGTCCCATGTCATGGTAGGCGCTGGTACGAGTAAGAACCCTCACTGCTCAATGGCCCTGAGTGCCGAGTATAGGTCTAAATTTGAAGCCCTTCACCAGCATATGGTGACGTCTCCATATGAGTGAAAAATTCTCGAGAGGGACGTTAAACAATATATAATCAATCAATCAATCAATCTAACCTACAGCCATATTTGAAATTTAAAATCTACTGAGTATCAGCAATCTTATATTTCTCGTCAAGTGGCTCTATAGCAGAAGTTTTTTAAAAGGACTTTTCCCATTCATTCCAACTTTGTTCCCTTTCTATGGCCCCATCCACCATTGGAGGTCATACACTGAACAATTTAGAATCCACAGTACCCGGATGTCTGGAAGTCTTCTCCCAAGTTTCATTTTTTCTGGGCTAGTGGTTCTTGGCATGTTATATTGTGGCCAAACCATAAACAAAGAGGCCTTGATTTAAACAATTTTAAACTTCAGAAAACTTCTACATAATTTTTCTTAATAGTTCTTATGAAGAATTTTTTAATGACAACTGAGCCTTTTTTAAAATCATATCCTCGGCAAAGGGGACATGGCTCTTCACTAGAATAATTCAAAATCTCTTTTACTTAATTAAGAATGCCTTGAGCAAAGTTGGTTAAAATTGACCAAGTGGTTCTAAGAAAAAATAAAAAGTCACCCCAAAAAAATTACTGATGGACAGCAAGCAACTGGATACATGTACATGTACACAAGTAATCAGCAAAAAAAAACCACCTGAACTTTGATTTCAGGTGAGGAATTTATTTGAATAAATAAATTTTTAACTGGTCATTGCCAAAAATGCCTTTCAAAAGAACATTGCGGGAAAAAAGTATGATAATTCAAAATATTTATACCTTTATATGCAAGATAAATTATGCTAACGTTAAACAAATTAGAAGACATGCAACTTAGTAAACATGCCAAATAATTATGATGACATGAAATCACATTTTCCAATCTTTTTAGAAAATTTAATGTTAATATTGGAAAATTTTACTTACATATGCCATTATATGACATCACACAAGCAAGATACAATAGGATTATGTTGACATACAACTTATTTTTGTAGACATGCAAGGTACTTACATTTATGTAGACATGCAACTCATTTATGTCAACATGCAAGATACATGTCATTATGTTAACATGTGAGTTAGTTATTTCAGCATTAGAGATATATATATTCACATGTAATTTATTATTTTGCATATCTTTAATCTTAACTTGCCTTTTAAAATAAATGTCCCATGTCAACATAATTATGTTGCATCTTGTTTGTATTATGTTGTTTACTGGCAGAAATACATGTAAGTTTACCAATATTAAAATTATATTTTCTAAAAAAGATTGGTAACTTTGCACACATGTATCAACATAATTATTATGCATGTAGAAATAATTATCTTGCATACTGATATACTTTTTTTGCATGCTAAAAAAATTTTATCTTGCATTTTAAAATTTTTCTTGCATGTAAACATAATTAATCTTGAAATCATGGGACATAATTTATCTTACATGTACATGCATGTGGACAGACTTTTCTTGCATGTAAACATAATTAATCTTGCAATCATGGGACATAATTTATCTTACATGTACATGCATGTGGACAGACTTTTCTTGCACATGAATGAAATTATGTTCCCCAACAAGTTGGGGAACATATTGTTTTTACTCTTTTTCTCATTAGGTTTTCCACCTTTCTGTGGAAAGACCTATTGATTTCCTTCTGTTTTTTTTTTTCCTTTTTCTTATTATTTTTTATTATTTTTCCGCCTGTATTTTGGTTTCAAGATTTATCGAAAAGATTTTAAGTTCATAAGAATGTATCCAAAAGATTTTCGAAATTTGACCCTGCATATATGAACTATGACCCCTTTCGGAGTTATTACCCCTTTTGCAAAAAAGCTTGTTATCGCTACCCCTCCAAAGAAACAGAGAGAAATGAAACCTTCACTAATGTCTTTGACTACTTTAGTAGACACTTCATTGATTCATTGCGAAAGTATTCATTGACCCCTTCAGTGAGTTATTGCCCCTGAAACTTTTTGAATTTTACAAATAATTAAAAATTTTCAAAACAAGAAGTCGTAGAGACATGGGACCAACTGCATAAGATTCATTGACCTTTGACCTTAAAATACATGTAAAGGTCAAAGGTCAAGGTCATTCCAAAAATGAGAAAATTAGCTCTTTTTGTATCTCTTTTGTCTTTCAACATATACTTAATGTCTATGCATCAGTGATATGTACTCTTAAAACTGTTTCAAAGATTTCTATTCTTGTCCCCTAAGATTAAACCTTTTAAAAGTTATTGCCCCTTGTGCAAAAAACCTTGTTATCGCTACTCCTCCAAAACTGTAGACCCTACAGACACCAAACCTTCACTAATGCCTTAAGGGTCTTTAGACCTAACTTCATTGTATAAGTGCAAAAGAATCTGATGACCCCTTATATGAGTTATTGCCCTTTAACTTCTTTGTACTTACTATTAAACCTTATAACTTAAAAACTATAAGTGGTAGAAGCAGGGGGTCAATTGCATTGGCCCCCTTGACCTTTGACCTTGAATATTCTTTCAAGGTCAAAGGTCAAGGTCATTCTTTTTTTTTTTTTTTTTAAATTTTCATTTTTCCTATGCTTTAAGAGAGTTTTGGTTTCTTTTTCATGGAATTTAATTTTTAAAGTAGATATAAAACAGAGTTCAAAGAAGGTGGAAAGACCTCTTATTGTTCTGTGAACAATAAGTCTCCTAGTTATTATTATTATTATTAGGTCTTTCCAGCTTTCTCTGGAAAGACCTATTGATATTCTTCTGTTTCTTTTTTTCCTTTTTCTTTATTATTTTTCCGCCGTGTTTTTTTTTGTTTCAAGATTTATCGAAAAAAATTTTCAGTCGATAGAAATGTACTCCGTAAAAGATTTTTCCAGTTGACCCTGCGTATATGAACTTTACCCCTTTCGGAGTTACGCCCCCTTTCGCAATGAAAGCTTGTTATCGCTACTCCTCCGAAACCATAAACCGCAGAGATTCCAAACCTTTATTAATGTTTACGACTGATTTAGTAGACTCTCCAATCAAACATTGCGAAAGGATTCATAAACTCCTATAATGAATTATTGCCCCTGAATGTTTGCGATGTTTACAAATATCAAAAATTTTTTTAAAACGACAAGGCGTAGAGACAGGGGGCCAAAATAAAAGATTTTTGACCTTTGACCTTAAAATCTAGGTCAAGGTCAAAGGTCAAGGTCATTCAAAATAGGTAAAATTCAGCATTTTTTATAGCCTTCTGTTCTTTACCAAATTCTAAACTTCTTTGCATCTTTAGTATCTACTCTTAAAACCATTTCAGAGATTCCATGCTTGTCCCCTAAGATTGAACCCTCTAAAAGTTAGTGCCCCTTTCAGTGTAAACCCTTGTTATCGTACTCCTCCAAACCAAACCCTAGAGGACGAAACCTTCTACAATGTTGCGATAATTTAGTACACTTCTCATTCTATTAGTGCGAAAGAATTGAAACATTTTAAGTAGTTATTGCCCCTGGCAGTTTATGATGTTTATAAGAACTAAAAACTTCTTAACGACAAGTAGTAAGGACATGGGCCCAACTGCATGAATTTTTACCTTTGACCTTGAATATTAGGTCAAGGTCAAAGGTCAAGGTAATTGAAAAATTATCAAAAT